AGGGCAGAGCTGAGCTGCAGCTGTAGCTACAGAGTCACCTGAGTCCAGGATTGTTCCCAGGACCCATGGAGAGCCAGCCAGGGAGCGTTCATTGGACTAACGAGCAGGCGTAAAGACCACATCTCTGCAGTGCCTCACTGCGGTGTGGTAGAGGGCAACAGGCTGTGTGTGAGCATCACCGCTCCGGGCCCATGGGCCCCTCCAGGGTGCTTTGCTCAGAGGAAGGGACAGGCAGGACGAAGCAGAGTTACGTGGTTGACTGCAGCTTTAGGACAAGCCCCCACCAAGATGTGTGGGAGCAGGCAGCTCTCAATACCAACCAGTCCCCCAGGAGGCCAACCCAGGGCCGGGAGGGGTGCAGGCAGGCACGGCAGACCTGCAGGTGGTCTGGAGAGGACCCCAAATTGTTCTTTGAGAGGAGGCTGCCTTGGCAGGACTTACCCAGAGCTTACTCTTTCCTAAGCACTAAGTCTAGTGTCTTAAAAATTCGGATGAACCCAAATCTTAGAAATAGAGGACATCTAATTCAGTGCCCCCACGTTCCAGACCAGGCCATAGAGGCCCAGAGAAATTGAGTGACTTGGCCGAAGTTGTCCAGTTAGATGTTGCGACCGGGACACCGCTCCTCTGCCCGAGGATGCTGTAAACAGGTCCGAGGGACACACCGAGCGCCTCTACCTACTGAGAACGTGGAGCCACGACCCCCCTCTCCTTCCGAAAGGGCTCCCTCTGGATGGAGGCCAGTTCCTTCCCTCTCGCCAGGCAGGGCCTGTTGGGGGTTCTGCCAAGGCTTTTCTCTCTGGCCCTTTCACTCACCTGGATACCTGCAGCCAAGCTCTGGCAGTTACATTTATTAAGTGGGAGCTCTGGAGGTAAGAAGGCAGAGTGAGGAGAAGCCTGGAATAGGAAATCCTGCAAACCACACGCCCTCCTGCTGTGGCTACTCCTGCCCAGTGTCTGGGCCTGGAGCCCGTGGAGCTGAGAGCTTGCAGACAGACACTCAGATGCAAGGCTGCAGGATGCCGACTTCCAGTGGGGGCTGCGCTGCTGCTGTCGCAGACATCACAGCGCATGTGGTCTTCTCCGAGGCTGGAGATTCCCAGGCAAAGGCAGAGCGGTTCCCCTTGGATTGTTCTCCCAACCCCTTCCTGGACTAGGGGCCCCAGCATGCTCTGGGAGCTCGTTAGAAGGACAGACTCTCAGGACCCCACCCCCCTCCCCCCGACCTACTGAGTTGGCACCTGCACTTTGTCAAGCTCCAGGGTGATTCCCAGTGAGGGTGCAGAGGGAGTGCTAGGTTCCTCCTTCCCAGAGCCACACTCCTGTTTGCGGACCAAGGATATGGTACCCAGCAAGTTCACCCCCTGAAGTGCAGCCAGCAAGTATTGCAGCCCCTCTTGCTCCCTCAGACCTTCGCTGTACAGGACAAATACTCAGGCTTCTCAAGGAAGAAGTCAGACTTCAGTATTCAAAGAGTAAAATGGGCGGAGGCTCTGGCTTCTGGGCAGTGTCACTCCAAAGGCCCCCCCAAGGCACTGCTGTAACCAGGGCTGTCTGGTGTCTGATACAACCCAGATGACTCTGCACTACTGAGTTCATCCACATTCATGACTCCCATATCATTAAAGGACAGCTGGACAGTGAATTCTAGACATTCTTAAGAAAATGTTTGGGAGAAAAAAGTCCTGGCTTACAAATGTTATCTAGACAGTTAATTCATGTGCAACAATCCTTCCTCCCCCAGTAACACCAGATGTATAAGGCTGTCCTGTCTCCATAGCTCAGGATTTTGCTGATGGGCTGCCCTGCCCTGCCCCCTTCCCCTTCCCCAGGCAAGCCAAGTATTTTCAGTGGTTCCTGCTGGTGGTTAATACAACACACAGAAGGCAAGAAAATGATTTTTTTAGACTTTTTTTTCGATTTGTTTTTAAAGAAACTGCATACATCATCAGAGACAAACAATAATTTAAATACCATGCAGTTTCTGTATGTACAAAACCTAGGCCATAGAGATCCAGTTTAACTTGTATTCTATTTACATCGTCTTCCTCATACAGCCGTCATCTGTTGAATTAGAACACGAGCGCGCGCTCCTATACAAAGACAAACTATGTACAGACACCCGGGGAGCAACTGGAAAAAGCAACCGGTTTGGGGATTAACAGACAAATGGGAAGAAAAAGCCATTTCACTTAAGGTGACCTTCGCACACTGGCTGTGCACAGGGAGAGCGGACATCCACTCGTCGAGCACACACCACGATTTTCATTCAGCAAATATACACGTTCGGAAGCGGGAGAAAAAGAAACTCAGAGGTTCTCACCACAACTACCGTCACACCGTTTGGTTTCTCTAATCTGACATAAAGGCTAACGTTTTAAAGGTTTTCCAGGGCTTTGAGGGCCTTTGGGAGGAACACAGCAATCTCGAAAGAGCACGCAGGCCGGTCGATGGCACTGTTCTGTCGTAGATGGGCGGGGAGGTTGGGGCAAGGTCTCCTTTTCAGAAGGAAACATTTTGATTTGAGGAGTTTCACACTTTTCCTTTCATGATAAGAGGCCCAATTGGAAATTTATACACACAAACTAAACCTTTACTTGAAAACAGCAGCGTTTTCAGACAAAGAAAGCATTGTAAACCAGCTAGGCCATCTCTTTGACCCCCCACTTCTAGTTAATGTTGATTTGTCATCTTGGGAATTAACACACATTTTCCAACTGTCAGAACAATGTGGCAAGAAAGAAATCTGGACGGATTTCTACAGATTTCCTCAAGATTTCAGGAAGGGAAAGGGACAGCAGAGGGGCCATGCTGTGGTCCACGGAGGTTGCTGAGCCACACACAGTGGGTTTGAAACCACCCACATCTGGGGTGGGTGCTGTCACTGGCACGGAAGGTGCAACCCTAAGTCCTGCAAGTGGAAGACGGTGCTCTGCAGGAGGAGAAGGGGAACGTGTTCGACACCTTCCGTGCACAGTGGACTGCCCAGTAGAGCACTTGGGGAGAAACCTGGACTACTGGCTGGCAGGTGGGCTGCAGGGAAATTGATTTGGGCCTCATGTCCCCAGGGAATCAGAAAGACCCAAGAAGCAAGGCCAGCAGAGAAGCCACTGGCCTTGGTGGGAGGAGTCCAGGTCATAAAATGAGTTCCCCTAGGACTCGCTCCTGGGCCAGGGGAAGGCCTGCCCATCCTGCTGGGCACTGCCAGTCGCCTGAAGCACAGCAGCCCATTAGAGGAAGCTCAGACTCAGCTCTGGGCAAGGCAGGCAGCTCCGCCCAGAACATGTGCCCGCTGCAGAGAAGTCAAACGAAAGGGCCCTACATCTTTCGTCACACCATCTGCACATTCAGACGTCAGGAAGCCTTTTGGGAAGATAGTGCTGACAGCCACACATTTCCCCTGAACAATACTTCTACCCGAGTCAAGAACTATTAAGATTCAGCAAAGAAAAAAAGGATCTAGCGATGGGCAGCGGCATGTTCCAGGTGCTGTGAGGAAAGCGCAGGACAGCTGTGCAGCGGCTGGTGGGCACTGCCTGAAGCACTGCCCTGGGTGGTGCTGGCCGCAGGAGCTGCGGATGCCTGCAGAAGGTAAACGGCCTCCCTGGTGGGTGCACATCCCAGCAGTAACTCCCCTCCCACGCAGGTTGCAGGTCGGGGTGGGGACTGGTTAACTCTTTGCTGTGAAGGCCAAGCTGGCATCCTTCTAACTCGGGCATCCTTCTAACTCCTGGGCACGTGTGGTGGAGAGGGGACCATCACCTGGAAAGACTGTGACTGTGGGAGGCCAGGCAGAGCTTCGAGATGGGGGTCCTATGAGCTCTGTCAGGAGGAAAAAAGGGGCTGCACGGGGCCTCACAAAAGAGAAGTCAAACTCTCAGGGTTTGGGGCTCGTCCTTCCTCTCACTGCACGTGCTACCCTCGGGGTTCCTCGGTCAACAGAGCACTGCTTCCTGTGGTCCCAGGTGAGGGGGGCAGTTAGAGATGCATCTCCAATCACCCTTGCCAGCATCACGAGGGAGGAAGGGTTCCCCCTGGAGAAACATGAACAGGGAAGTACAGCACAAGGCGGGCATGGCTGCTGGCTGCCCAATTCTGGCCTCTGCCAAACCCACAGAAACCCCTCAGTGCAAAGAAAGGAGACTGGAAGGCCATCACGTGGTTCTAGAGTACCAGTCCGTCAGTGGCCGGAAGGCTGGTCCTTCAGGAATGGTTTCTGGCCTACATGTGTGGGGGCCTGTACTCGGGAGCCATTAACTTCCGAGTCAAAGGGTCACCAGCCCTGGGGCAGGCAGAGAAGATGAAGCCCACCAGCCAAGCGGAGTTCCCACCCCAGCCTTTATGCCCTCCACGTGGTCCTTACGCTCCTACACGAGGCTGTAGGTACACCTTAGCAGTGGCTGTTTGTGTGCAGATCACCTGTGACATTGGGCTGTTAACTGAGCAGGTGACAACTCTCCCCTTCTAACCCAGAGCTGCCCGCCGCCTGAGGGACAGGATGGGTGTGACAGTCACCCAGACTCCCCCAGACAAGGGCTCTTCCCTTTTGTTCACTGGAAGGAGGGTGGCCGGAGGGAGAGGACAGGGCAGCTGAGACAGTGCTCCCTCTCAGCACCCTCCTCCTGAGGGGACCCCAAACCAGAAGCCAAGCCTAATCGGCCAACCAGATGATTTGCTTCTCAAAGTCATTCCCAGGCCACGCCCAGTGCCTCAGCTTTCTTTGGACTTAGGTGACAGGTACTTTTGAGGAAAGGTCGCTGGAGCCTAAGTGAGGACCGGGGCTGAAAGTCTTCTGCGAGGCTGCAGGGGCTCTCGGCCTGCCGGGGACGGGCACGGTTCAGGATCCGTGGTGGTGCCAGCAGCTCTGACCACGGAGCGGTGACCATCGCGTTTCTCAAACAGAATCCTGGTTGTGTTTCCTTTCCTTCTCCTTCTCCTTCTTTTAAAAAAGGCAGTTCAGAAGATTTACATCGTGATGGGACGTGAATAAATACCAGCACTTATGGTTCTTATAAATTTATGTTTTGAAGACAGCATAGCACTCAAGAGGAATTTGACTGTTAAGGTCGGTGAAACCTGGGAAAAAAAATAAATGAATCAAGACCAAGCGGCTGCCCGAGGTGTCTGGTTCCACGGCCCTCACCTTCCATCCTCAGAGTCCTTGCTTCTGACAGCAGAGGGGGGTATACATCTCCCACAGAATCCCTGAGGCCCACTGAATCCACCTTCGGTTTTGGAATAGTTTAATCAGAATTCCTATGGACTAGTCAGATGGCCCTGGTGGCCCGCAGCCTGGACTTGGCAGTGAGGTGGAGACCTCAACCTTGTGTCTGCAAGTCCAGGCACCATTTCTCAGAATGCTCCCCCAAGGGGCGTGTCTAAGAATTGTCAGTGGTTCTGTCACTGAGTGACCCTACATAAGCCCATTATCTCTCTGTGTTCAGTTCCCCAAGCAGCACCACACAGGACCACCTGGGAGAATGACAGGGAGGCACAGGGCTGGCCTCTGCCAACTGGCTGTCAATCGACAACGATCTTTTCTCCTCAGCTTAAGTTTTTGTGAAAACCCACCTTGGGGTTAGTGGTGGTCTGCCACTTAGCTCTTCAGTGTGAATGAGTTAAAAAGTGGCTTTCAGAAGGTGGCTTTCAGCTGGGGCCTTGAATGCCCCGCACCCCAGTTTCAGTGGCCACAGTGGGAACTCAATGCAAACCTTTATCTTCTCCTTCCCACGCCCACCACACCGCTGGGACCCAGAACAGGTAGGTCGTTTGGAAGTAGGTCTGACAACTTGAGAGGGAAAAGCACACTGCGATACTCACCTTGTTAGATGTCTACTCAGCTCATGAACTTCCATCTCAGTGCTTTTAAATTCATTCAGCTCCTTCCGAATGGCAGCCTGGAATGGAGAGAAGCCCATGAGGATGCCGAGGGGGCAGATGGGAAGGAGCTCACTTCTTATTTTATTTCTATTTTTTTCCCTTTGACAAAGCCACACAAAATGGAGTTTTCACTGGGAGAAAAAAACCCAATCACCTGGGATATCCTTTAGACCTACTATGACACCCCCTGCCCTTAAATCTAAACCACGAATGATTCTGTATGGGAAACCTGGGCATGTGCTCTTGACCAGAATCGAACCCAGGACCCTTCAGTCTGCAGGCTGTTTCATCCGGCATCCATAGTGTGCACACCTGCCCACACTCCTGGGCTCCCGAGTACACATTTAAATGTCGCTTGGCCAATGTAGCTCAGCGGTTGAGCATCGACCCAGAAACCAAGAGGCCACCGGTTCGATTCCAGGTCAGGGCACATGCCCAGGTTTCGGGCTCAATCCCCTGTGAGGGGTGTGCAGGAGGCAGCCGATCAATGATGCTCTTCTATCATTGATGTTTCTATCTCTCTCTTTCCTTTTCTCTCTAAAAAAAATCAATAAAAACATATTTAAAAAAAAGTCAACCGCTCACCTTCCTTAGGTAAACAATCTGAACTCATCACAGCCACAGCAGTGCCTCACAGTGGATACTTCTAGAAGGGGAGGGTCACCCCCCTTCCCTTTGATTTATAAACCCTCTCCTCTTTCATGACTCTTGAAGCTGAGACCGTATTTTTCACCATTACGGGTAGATGGGATGTTTTAGATAACCTTAGTATATTCTGTGATAAACTTGAATAACCTCATCCTTCTAGCACTGCCCACCCACCTGGCTGCAGCCCACCGGGAGGGCTGGGGAACCAGCACAGAGACAGGTGAGGAGGGTCTAGGACACAGTAATGCCAGGGCTGAAGTTTTAAATGTGTGCCCTTCCGCAGAGCTCTTTGTAAGGTTGGCATTGGCTTTGGTGGGAAAGTCAAAGCACGGGGAGTCTGAGGCTGGAGAAGTCTTTAGGGAGCATCACAGTGGCTCTTCTCGAAACGGGGGCACGTGAGCGTCTAAGGGCCAGTTAGAAGGAGGCTCCGTGTCTGGTTTCCCATCCCCAGCAGCCTGGGAGGAGCTGGGTCCGCTCCCTACCCAACAGCCTCTCGGAGCTGGAGTCACCCTGTCCTTCCTCTTGACCCCTGCGGCACCCCTACCCTTGGTACCATGCTCACCGCAGCCAGTGTGAGCAGGAGAACCAGGGCCAGCTAGGGCCCTCCTCTGTGGACAATACAGACACCACTGTCTGGGGGGCAGGCTCTGTCTGGGCCAGTTCCGGGGCCTCACCGAGTTCCTGCACAGGAAGAGATGGTGCTGCATTTAAGAAGGGGCAGAGTTTCCCACTCATCAGACCTGTGGGTTGACCCCATGTGGGAGGCCATTTCTGGGAGGTCTCTGCCTCTGACCTCATCAGTTTCCCCAAGGGCAGCGGCTCCCCTGCCCGTCCCTGTGCTTCCTCCTGTCTAGCAGGTGAAGGAGCCACCGGCCCGAGAATATTTGGGGAAAGAAGGTCAGAAGCCCTCCAGTTCCTCGTGGTGACTGGGCTAGAATCACAAACGATGACCAAGCAGAGTTTAATTCTAATGCATGGTCCAATGGGCAGGTAAGAATGGCATCATTTGCATCACTGCATTTCTTAACAAACAAACTCAACTTCAGATTGTATTCTTTCTAGTCGATGGAGGTTTAGTGCAGGGACGTGTTTTGCTGTCTCTGTGGTTTGTGTCTTTGCCACTAGGTTACAACAACTGCCAGGACAGTGGCCTCAGCCCCTTTTGGTTTTGGGACACCCCTGTGGGTGCTGCAGCCAGTGGCTCTACCCGGAAGGTCAGCTGGGTGCCCCACAGGTGCTGTTCTTTCCTCTGGGCACCATCTCCCACACTGTCTTTCCTTCTCCCGTAAAATGGCACAATATTACGTGTCTGTCTTGCTCCTTCTCCAGAGTGGTGAGGAATCAATTCAGTGACCGCTCCCAATTCTCTGGAGCCCTGGGCAAAGGTGGTGGGGACATGGCACTCTCAGCCTGCCCAGCGGGCACCAAACGCTCCATTCCCAAGACCCTGGCCACAGCTTTGCTGTTCATTTCAATACAGCATCCCAGGCAGCAAGCGAGGAACGCAGTGTAGGGGCAAAACCTGGGTGTGGGCCCCTGCCCCCCTCTCCTTGCCCCTCTCCTCACTTTGTCGGCAGCGGTGAGGCGGGTCCACGGCTTGTCCGCCCTGCGGTCATAGTCCTGGGCGTCAGCCACCTCCACGTAGTCGCTGAAGCGGATGAGGATCTTCCTTTCCCGAAGTTCTTCCACGGTGGGCCTCTGGCTAAGCTGCAGGCGGAAGAGGGGGGCACGGTCATAAAGAGAAGTTTGGATCGCTTGCCCATCGTGGATTTACAGGTGAGCAAAATGCGGTCCAGAGGCAACTAGGCATCGCACAGCGAGGGAGGGGCAGGGCTCCCTGCTCCTCACCCGGACTTTTCTAGGAGAGAGAGCGAGTGTTTTATTGTTCATGGAGCTACATTATTCCCAGAGCCACCTCCCGGCCTGTGCACAGCCTGGCTTCTCTAGTAACATGGCAGTGTCTTGGTCTCTGCAAGCAGCCTGTCCTGGGGGGATGGGTGTCTGTCGAGGGTTTTCCCACATTTGTCTCACTTCTCGAATCAAGGTGACAGGAATCTTACACAAAGATTTTACCTTATTCTGGATTTGTGAGTCCACATCTGTGTCAAATGTAGTGCTCTCTGAAAGATGGGCCTGTGCATCACTTCACATACAAAAACGTTTCAGACACAAGAAGGTGGTCTGTGGCTCAGAGGAGACTCTGGTCCTCAGGAAGGTCAAGTGAAATGAAAGGTCAGCCCACGAAGGCAGAGCTAGGCCCCGTTTGTGCCAAGGAAGCCTTGGATGGGCCTTTCGGATCACTCTGCGGTGAGGGACGGAAACCACAAAGAGAACTCCACCATCTCCCGGTGTCACCCACCGACACCCTCTTTTGTTCTTCAATGACATAAGGCTGACGTTTCTCCTGCCTCCTCCTGGCCCCGGGCTTCTTTCTCCTGGAGCAACTCAGCTGCCCTCTCCTAGGATGCTGTCAATTCACGTTTCACCGATATTATTTAAAGCAGTGGTTCTCAACCTTCCTAATGCCGGGACCCTTTAATTCATGTTGTGGTGACCCCCAACCATAAAATTATTTTCGTTGCTACTTCATAACTGTCATTTTGCTACTGTTATGAATCGTAATGTAAATATCTGATATGCAGGATGTATTTTCATTGTTACAAATTGAACATAATTAAAGCATAGTGATTAATCACAAAAACTATACGTAATTATATATGTGTTTTCCGATGGTCTTAGGCGACCCCTGTGAAAGGGTCGTTCGACCCCCAAAGGGGTCGCGACCCACAGGTTGAGAACCGCTGATTTAAAGCAACTTTTTCTCCAGGCCCTGGACTGTATTTAGTCCTTTTAATGGAAGATGCAGTCAGATGCAATCCTACCACAATTGCCTACAGAACACACACACACCAGGGAATCCAACCACCTGGCTATTTCACTGTCTCATGCCGCTGCCATACACCTTCCTGGTGCCGGAACGCTCCACTTGCTGCCAACGGCCCACAGTGGAAGGCAAGACTAGATGCCTGTCTGGCTGGTACTGAACAGGATGCAAAGGGTTTTACAAGGCTCCAGACAGGCCCAAGGCAGCCGCAGCTTCCTCCAGGCCAGTGTTGGGAAGACCTGGGGATCAGAGGCCTCTGGGGCCAGGGCAGGGCCCACCTGTCTGGACTATGAAACACGCCCCCCCCCCTCCCCCGCCAGGTGGTTCTGGTCTGCCCTAGAGCAGCCCTGGTTCTCCTGGGACAGGACATTTCGGCCTCAGTGCTGGCCCGTCACAGGAAACCAGAGGTCTCTCAGGCTCCACGGCCAGGGCTGTACACACAGTGGCGGTCCAGCCTCCTCCACACTGTGAGTGTGGGAGCTTTTGTCATTAAAATACATAAAAACATGTAACGTTCACCACATTTACCCCAGGTACAGGAGGTTCCCACTCACAACCCCCAGTTCGTATTGCTTAGGACTTGCAAGGTTCACCCCAGGGTGCTGGTCAAAAGGTATTATTTTCAAAGTGTGCCACGACATCAAAACGTTGTTAAGCATGGAATTTGTAGTTTATGTTTCTGCAAATCACGACCTGGATTTTACTAATAGTCTGTCGATGGCAGAGTCTGGTGTGAACAGAAAACTAAGTGTTAGCTCTGAAGGTCAGGGAGCATTTTCCATGCCTGTGTCCCACAGGAACCTCAGACACAAGCTCTCCAAGTCAGCAAGGCACTTCCCCAAGTGCCGAGGGAGGCGCTGAGGAGGGGACTTCTGCTGGGAGAGTCTCAGGCGGTGTGTGGGCCGACCAACCAATGGCCGCTGGGATTCCGTGTGAGCGTGGGCTCGTGCCCCTGCCACGTGGGGCTTGGGAGGTGTCCCTTCAGCTTGTGGCTGGTTGTAGCCACTGGGGCATGTGAACCCAGGGTCCTCCTCAGATGCAGAGGAGGTGATCTTGGAGTCAGAGTGGTTTTCTAGGGATAGTGGACTGGAGAGAGAGGTAAGAGCAAGGGTTGGTAGTACTATGTATCAACTTATGGTAGCAATAATATTTGCAATCAAATACTCAACAAGAGTAATTAATTGAGACCCATATTTCAGTATTAATATAACCTGACTCAAGTGGACTTCTTCCCTCCCTCTCTCCCTCCCTCCTTCCCTCCCTTCTTTTCTTCCCATCCTTCTGCCCATTTAGCTAGCTAGCATTTTTTTTTGAAGGGGAAGGAAGGCATTTATTAAAAGACAAAACACAAATTTCAGGTATCAATCTGGCTGAAGAAAATAGCTGCTCTGTGGCTGTGAGCATCAGCTATTGTGTTTTATCTTTCTCACTCGTACATTAAAATGAACTAGAACTGCAAGAACTAGAAATCCTCGGGCTGAGGGAAGTAACTGAAAAGCAGCCACCAGCGCTGGCATCTGGTCTTGTGCGATCAAGGCCCCAGAGAAAGGGAAGGTGCCCAGAGCCCGGAGGTGTGGATTCTCCACCTGCTGGGAGCTCACATCTCTCTCCACAAAGAGATATGAAAGCTGCTTCTAGTCTCTCCCTTAAAGCTGACCCCTTCACTCAAGCTCATTATTCTAATTCCCCAAGCCAGTCCCCAGGGAAGGACAGGAAACCAGGAGGAGGAAGAGGCATTGACCTTCTCTGGGAGACCTGCCAACATGATGGGCTTTCTGAGGTACCTGTCCCTGTGCAACCCACCCCAGGGGAGGTGGGTGTGAGAGGAACCCTCCTCCCTTTCCCCTGATGCAAATTTTCTCTACAAAACTATATATACTTTTTAAATATGAATTTTTAAGTTGATTTTAGAGAGGAAGGGAGAGGACTAGAGAGATAGAAACTTCGATGAGAGAGACATGGATTGGCTGCCTCCTGCACACCCCCTATTGGGGATCAAGCCTGCAACCCGGGCATGTGCCCTGACCGGGAATCAAACCATTGGTTCATGGGTCAATGCTCAATCATTGAGCCACACTGGCCAGGCTATATACTTCTTTTAAAGAGATAAGAATTAGATGGATGTTTAAGTATTTACCTATTATTAGTTTTTAGAAACCCTAAAGTTTAGGAGAATTTTTGGGTGCCAGCAATCAACTCCAATGAACTTTATGAAAACTGGATTTTCATTTTTTGTGCGAATGTCTAGACCAGGGGTGGGCAAACTTTTTGACTCAAGGGCCACAATGGGTTCTTAAACTGGACCGGAGGGCCGGAACAAAAGCATGGATGGAATGTTTGTGTGAACTAATATAAATTCAAAGTAAACATCATTACATAAAAGGGTACGGTCTTTTTTTTTTTTTTAGTTTTATTCATTTCAAACGGGCCGGATCCGGCCCGCGGGCCGTAGTTTGCCCACGGCTGGCCTAGACCTTTCTGTACCAGAAATGAACTTCTTTTTGATGCTGTAGTCATTTCAAGGTCACACTTAGAACAAGCTAACATACTTCCCCTCCCATTGTCCTCACTGCTCACTCTCAGGACAAAGGGTGCCTTGTGTCCAAAGACTGGATGGTCTTAAGGTAAAGAATCAGATGGTGGCTGGGGTGAGGGCACCGGGATGAAGTGAGCTCACGTAGCTCTTGCTCTAGTTCCCACCAGGGGCATGCCAGCCCGTCACTGGCCCTCGGGCACTTGTGTATCCTACTCTTTTTCATTGGGATGGTGTTTGGCTCGTTGCCAGAAGTCCTGGATGCGCTAAGGGAGAGGAGAGCGTTGAGAAACACAAGTCATCGCCTTAGTAATTGGTGTGATATTTTAGGGTCTTTGAATGTCTTCCTTTGTATAATATTTCTAGGGAGAAGCATCCATTAACAAACATTTTAAAAATTGATTTTAATGGGACTCTTAACTGTCTCTGAGTTTTGAGAACCTTTCTCTCAAGATGGTCCCTGCAGGAGGCTGACTGAGACCGCTCTCGTCTGACAGAACATACTATAATATCTTGTGTGTCATCAATTAATTAAACTTGCCAACAGCATCCAGGAACAGCCTCAATAAGAGTTTCTTATTAAAGAGACCACTCATGCAGAATTAAACCCATTTGTGTCTACAGTGCATTGCCAAGCCATCTATTTTTGGGGTTAAAAATATATAAAAATTCTAGTTTATGGCTTCTATCTTAAGTGCTTTTCAAACATCTTCAAAAATTTATCGGTACTTTAGGCTTTTTCCTGATTCAGTACTCCAAATTGATTTAGCATAATCAAGTTAAACTGTTCTTAGTTAATAGGTACGGAATAGTATCAGGGAGGCAAGGACAATTCACACGTTCCCAAGGTCATAGCAAGTAACTTACATTCCAACTACTGATTTTGACCATGAGTTTCCGATTGCTTGATGGCTAATGGTACACTTTTAAAAATAAAACATTCACTGTAATTGAAAAGGTAATGCACTTGACATCAAGTTGCTTGGGGGCAGGTAAGTGTCACAAAAATCAGGCAGCACAGAATGTCACCAGACAAGACTGAAAGTCACGCAGCTGAGTTGACCGTGGCCCCGTGGAGAGGTCCTGGAGAGTCAAGACAGCTGCCCACTCTGCCAGGGGAGATGTCTCCCTGTGGGCTGGGCAGCTGCAGGCCACTGAGGCCAGCAGAGGGCACAGGAGCGGACGGCCGCCCTCCCTCTCCTGCCCCAGCTCTTGTGAACTTCCTCACCTTTCGAGTTAGCCTCCTCTTGATCTCTCTTTTCTCCTCTTGTTCCTCTTGTTCGTTCCGAGCTGAAAGAAACATTTAAGATGGTTTGGATTTTGTAGACAGTGTTGCACACAGGAGCATACTATGAGCCCTTGAGGCTCTGGGCCAAGCACCTCGCAGTTAGGAGAGGGAAAGAGGAAGCTTGTGTCTCCTACCCTGGCCTTGCTTCTGCCTGTGGGGACACTTTCAATCTGGTGGTGAGCAGGCTGACCTGCCTATTTTGGTTCCTTTCTGTCCCCTGGGGTTTCCAGTCTCCCGGCAGCATTGCTGGGTGAGAAGTGGAGCTTGTAAGACAAGGAGGGAGGTCCTAAAAGAGCAGGTGCTGTCAGCAGTGAGGTGGGGCTCCCTTCTCTGGACAGCACAAAGGCCTCCCTCCACTGTGCCCCCAGCCTCACAGTCACTGCAGGGCTCATTGTGATGTGGCCCTCAGGTCGGTGCACTGTGGGAGTAGAACCCAAGACCGGCCCGTGGGGGTGCCTGTCACCTGTGCAGAAACAAGATGAGGAAAGCAAAGGCCAGCCTGGCTGCACCAAGAGGAATTTCAAAACGCTCACCTTTCGCAAGCCCTGCTTCCATTAATTCTTTGAATCTTCTGAGAAGTCCACTGAGCATGTGTGTGGCCAGAGTGTGGGGCACAACTGCCTGCATTGGGACTTTTAAGGAGTGCCTTAGAGGAGCAGGCCCCGGAGCCTGCACGCTGTCAGCTTAATATGTGGGTGACTTGCTCCTCAGAGCCGCAGGTAAGAGGGTCTGGGGAAGGGAGCAGAGGTTTGCAGGACAGAACCCATGGGCTTATTTCTCCTTTCGAGCTAACGGAATGACCTTGAACATCACTTGCTTCTGGGAGCGGAATGGAAGCATGGCTCTAAGTATAATATTGTTTAAAAGCAAGAGAGTCAAAGGTCTCTGCTTCTCACCCGCTGGATTAGAATGGCATTGTGAAAGGTAGCTGCTTCGAGCTGATCTTGGCACAGGGCACACAAAAGAGCGCCCTCTGAAACTGGTTCTCTCATCTTAAAATCACTAGTGTTTAACTATATTTCAATAACTGAATTAATGGATCGCATCATGCACACTTGCAATTCAGTCGTTTCAATACAGGGCGGATCTTTAACAGAGGGAAGCCCCTGTGCACAGAAGTGGGTCCCACCCTGCCCTCCTATCAGCCCTGACGGCAGGCAGCAGCCACAGACAGCCACTTCAGCGCAGAGCTCAGGGGCACGGTCCCTGTGGGGATCAGGATGCTGTATGGGGGCAGCACCAGAAATGCCGTGGGCCGAGGTCCCCACGGTAGCCTGCCCCACAGCGCCCCTAGCCACCCACGCAAAAGCTCCTTCTTTTAGATGTAAAGATCTGATCTCCCTCTCAGAGTTCCTATAAAAATGCAAATTTCTTTGGGATAAAAACCCATTAAACTAGTTAGCCATTAACACCTTAGTAGGCACTAACCTTACAGAGATAAATAAGTTGGGCGGCAGACAGCAAGACTCAGAAGGGGAGAGCCCAGACAGCTGCATTTGCAGGTGGCAGGGAGGGAAAGGACTAGTCTGGGTGGGGGTGCCAAGGAGGCAGCTCGGGCGCTTGGTTAAAATAAAATGTTCAGGGTATTAGGGCCACGAGGGGCTGAGAAACCACCAAGCCTCCCACTCTTAGTTTGTAAAAGAGGATGGGAAAGCCCAGAAGATGAAGTGGCTGCTCACAGGATACACGGCTAATTAGACAGACAGCCCCACTCTTTTCTCACCGGGGACACTGCCCTAGTGTCTGGCCCTCCTTATTACTGGTCACTGGCCTCAGGCTCTAGTCAGGGCTCCCTCACCCTACAGGCCCCTTTGCACGCCTCCAGTGGCATTCTGTGACAGAGCACAGAGCCGTCATCTCCTACGTGCAATTCTTAGGTCCCTCTCAGGGGTGGGGCCCCAAGACCACCTATGGGATCTATACCTTTAGTTCAAAGCCATTTACAAACCCAGGGTAACGTTTTCTCAGGCCAGTGATACCAAGGCAACCCCACTAGGCAACTGGGGAGAGAGGCCAGGACAGGCCCATGACATCATCACACCTGCTGCCACCATCAGAGTGTGCTCATTGTGTGCTCAGGTGTGCACCGTGCCTCACTGGTTGCTGACAAAGCAAGCACTGACTACAGGGCCGGCAGGGTGGGGCTGGATGCCAGACCCAGACCATGCTTCATAGAGCGCCTTCCCTAGCACCCTTGGAGACCTCCCTAGCACTCTCGGAGAGATGGCTCCTCACATGATTTAAACTCAGAAAATAAGCTTTAGAACAGCGGTTCTCAACCTGTGGGTCGCGACCCTTTGGGGGTCGAACGACCGTTTCACAGGGGTCGCCTAAGACCATTGGAAAACACATATAGAATTACATATTGTTTTTGTGATTAATCACTATGCTTTAATTATGTTCAATTTGTAACAATGAAAATACATCCTGCATATCAGATATTTACATTACGATTCATAACAGTAGCAAAATGACAGTTATGAAGTAGCAACGAAAATAATTTTATGGTTGGGGGTCACCACAACATGAGGAACTGTATTAAAGGGTCGAGGCATTAGGAAGGTTGAGAACCACTGCTTTAGAACGATTTGATGGAGGGTCTACTAAAAATTTCTTGTTTCACAATCAAATGGGAAAAAAGAAAAAGAAATACTTATTTAGGAAACAATATTCCAGAATGATGGGGAAAAATAAGAGCCCACAGGAAAAATGAGTTTATTTCCAACAAGTTTTGGAACTGTGAAATGATCAAGCTGTTTGAATTCGGTCAACGAGTTCTTTAACTTGCAGCTATTTGAATAGGACAAGGAGGAGGAACTAGAAGGAAACATGGAAACAATCTTCTAAGCTGCCTGGGTCTCCTGAATCTAAGCCCCCCAGGCTTACTTGACATGAGCAACTGCCTCTAAGATGTATTTGTCTGGATGGCAATAAAAACTCTAGGCAAGGGGCCAGCCATGATCTCCCAGGGTCTGGGTAAGGGGGTGTGTATGTGTGTGTGGGGGGAGGGGTGGGGGTGGGGGTGGGGTGGGAGCTGTGCCTTCAGGAAGCCAGAGGTGAGCTGGGCTTTGACACCACCTCTTTTCAAAATCCTCACTTTTGCTGAGAAGAACTATCTTCTGAAACCTGAAGTTTTCAGCTTCTTTGGGTGTAGGAGTTAGTCAGAGGCCACCAATATAATCTGGCCCATGTACAGACACTCCTTCAGAAGACAACAGATCCCTGTTAGGCCTGTGCGTGGGGGTGAAGAGGCAGAGGGAGGAGGAAGCACATTTACCTGATTTGTTATTTTAGGAATAAATAGAAGGTTTCCTGTTTTTCTTTCTCTCCAACAACGGAGAGTTTATAATAGAACAGGTATCAGGTTGGGGCCAAAAGTGCTCTCTTGACCATGGAAGTCATCTGAAAAAGTTCTAACTGTTTCACAGCATATTAAACTTACAAACCTTAGTGGGTGCCCTTGTTAGAAATATATACATAAATTCCTAGAGACCTAGGAAGTCTGTGAAGTCTGTGAATCTGTGACCTCACTCTGTCACAGAACCACTCTAGACGGAGAAAGGCCAGACCTAAGTATAGCAGCCACTGAGGAGGGAAGCAGTGGCCCGAGGGCACAGGTGGCCGGCAGGGTGCCAAGGGCAGTCACCAGGCGGGTGAGAGCTCTGGAGGGGCTGCCCCGTCCCCAGCCTTCCCAGGGGAAATGAACAGCTCACCCCTCAGTAAACTATCCCAGGCAGACCAGGTCTGCTGACCAGGTCAAAGACCGCAGGGAGGAAGGGGAGAAACGTAAAACCAAGAACATTTCAGTCTGTTCTAAGTGGAAATACCCTCCCACGCAAACAAGTTTCACATGATTGGAGCGTGTGTGACCGCGGGCGCACGTGCACAGCGTAGCATTTCTATGAAATTCTAGTTCTCTTTTCTGGAGAGCAATTAGCAGGGGATGTGTGTGTAGGAAGACAGGGTATTGAATTACACTAAGAATATCTGTTGGCCATCTTGCGAAAAGTGTTCGTGAGTGTGGTAGCAATGGCTGAGTAGAATGTGAGCAGAGACTTCATTGTTTAATTGTCGTACCAGTGTCCACGAGGTACTCGATGTCTTTTAATATTATATACATATTATATAATACTAATATTAATACTGATACTAATATATATAAATTTTTAAGCACCAAGTGGGTTCTCTGTACATAGTCAAATATCTCTGTGTCCTAAACCAAACAAGGGGCTGGCTTATTTTTTCTGTCCACAGCCTCAGCGACAGTGAGTTTTTCTTGAATGAGGGCATTAGGCAGACACCCCAGCAGCCAGCTTGGGGGGTTGGCGGGGGGCGGGGGGAGAATGAGAGATGAACACAAAGCATTTTTTCTTGGAAATGCTTCCCTAGACTGTAAATGTAGTGTTCAGAGGGAGGAGGGTTTGATCAACAGCAGCCAGGTGCAACGGGAAGTCACGTTTTCCAGTCCCAGGTTTCAAATGGCCATTTGCCTTATTTTGCCTTCAATGTAGTATTTGCAGTTTTCAAGGCAATTCTGGTTTAGAGGTAACGCTCACTCACCTCACAATCCTTGGGTGACAAGTGCCCTCACAACACATTTTCAGCTTCTCTCTGACTTACAGCCCACCACAGGGAAGGGGTGTCTGGAGCCGCTAAGGAGCCACGTGGATTGGAACCTGCCCTGGGTGGGGAGCTGGCCTTGGCTGTCCTGACACGCAGGGAGGGAGCCTCAGCGGCCACCTTCCCAACCATTTCCACCCAGGCACAAGGGACAGACCTTGCGGCCGGCCACTAAATCATAACTAAAGCCACCACACAAACATCAGGATTGCCGCGGGCTTAGTCACTTACGTTTCAAAATGTTCCTCTGCTCCAACTCCTCTGCAGTGGGCCTCTGGCTCAGCCGCCTGCGGAAAAAGTCCAGGAAAAGTTTTTGGACCATATCATATCCTCCTTGGGTCATTAATCTCTCCCCTTGTAGGTACACGAGGCAGAGCCGGTGGCCAGAGTTCCTGTTCCATCCTGGGCTCTGAAGGACTGACTAGCACCACAGCCTCAGTTCCTCAATTTCAACCCCAGGACAGGCGCCCCACGTCACGGCACCGGCAGACCCACCCCCTTCCTCCTGCAGGCCCCTCCTAGCCTGCTCCTCCAGTGCCTCAGGCAAGGGACTTCTCTCCACAGAAGTCCCTTTCTTTCCTTGTGGCCTCTGCACTGGGGACCTTGGCCTCTGCCTTTCTCTCCAACCCTGAGGCTAGAGCCTGCTTCCTGCCATGTTTGTGCAGAGCCGGTTAGAATATAAAGAGGCCCATGGCCCCAGGGAGATGCAAGAAGCTTGTCTGTCTGCAAAGTACAATAGGTGCTCTTCTTCTCATCTCCACCCATCACTACGGGCCTATTAGCTCTGGAATGACAGCTGAACAGGAACCCAAGCGACACTCCTGTTGCCCAGCACATAATTTAACCATAACTAGTGAAACACAGCAAGGCCATGAACCTGCGATGATGCAACAGCGGGGGGTGGGGACAGACAGTGGTCAGGCACCACAAAGTGACAGAAGTCACCAGAGAATGGGAAGGGCACCAAAGGGGAGAACTACGTGCTTGTACACCAGTGTACACCAGGTGACGTTCCAGGAACGGTCAGCACAAACCCAGTGGGCCTCAGTATTCAGAGGCATTCGTATTTTTGAAGCTCTTGGGAATTCTTTTTTTTTTTTTTTCAGTTGATCAGCATAGTGAGGTTCTTTTGCCAGGTTCTGTCTCTTGGGAATTCTTTAACAACCCCTCCATTACCCAGCATTCCGCATCCCCCATTGGGATGAGGTGTGCCGGGTAATTGTGGAAGGAGCTGGAGGCGTCTCAAAGTCTTCCACTGGGGCTGACGGGGTGGAAAGGAGCGCTCTCCTCGTAGTAGAGGTTCTGGTCCCTCCCCGAGTATCTGCAACCAGTGTCTGAAGTGCCAGCTCTTTACACATTAGGATCTGGAGACCCAGATGTCAATGTAAATATTTAAAATTCGATGCTATTGTCACTTGCAGTTCTCTTTATTGAGCTGGGCCAGAAAACAGTCTGCTCGTGATAGCCCAGCGTCAACACCACATGCTGTAGACAGCTAGGAGTGGGCTTCAGTGCCAGAGAAAGAACTTCTGGTCAGCAGTCTGGAAACTGCTAGAAACTGTATTCCAAAGCATTTTAAGTTTATAGCTGCATGTTTGGAGGTTCTAAACTTGGACTCAGCAGTCTTGAAGTCCTTTCTGAACTGGCTTCTCATCTGCAGGAGGAGACTTGAGATCACACAACTGAGCAAACGTCACGGGTCAGGAATGCAGCCACTGGCTCCGCTTAGAATGAGCTTCCGAGAGGCTCTCAATTAATCTTCCCCAGGAAGACTTGCTTCTTTTTACAGGGATGCAATGGGACCATTTGGTAGCACCCAGGTGTTGAATGAAGCCAGGGTTCTAAGACAATGTTTTGAACAAGCCCTTCAGATTCAAGGTGGAGCTTGCTTCTTGGAAGTGGGGCTACTGTTTTGGGGTCTCGGCCGGAAGTGTCTGCAGAATTCGCCCATTGGCTCGTGCCAAGCAGCCCATCCGTTCCATTTCAGATGCGCTGCCTGGTTCTGTCTGGGTTTCATTTTTCTTAAGGGTTATGTTTGGAGGGGACAAGACAACAGTGACTAAACTATAACCAGAGAAAGTTCTGTTATTAACCAGGCAGCTTTTTGTCAAACACACATGGTTTCTAATGAGGGCCTTTATGTTTCGTTTCTCTTGAAAGGATCTGAGGACCTCCAGGCTAATCATAGCTATAACATGCAGCTAAGCCCTCCTGAAGGGCACGTGCTATAATTAGCTATTTGACTTTGAAAATGAGATTTGGTAGGAAAGTGGGATTTCGGCATTGTAATGACAAAGCTCTAAACAGCACAGGGGCTAAGAGGTCTGGGTTCTAGTTCTGGCTCTGCTCTGAGCCTATTTTCCTTGGACAAAGCATTGGACCCTGCTGGGTCTGTGCTCTTTTTTTTCCTGCAAATAAATACTAATTTAATAGCTAATGCTGATGTCACGCCCAAAATGTGCAGGCGTGGTTCTAAGAACTGTATGTGTGCAAATTCATTTACTCTTCATAGCAGCCCTTTGAGGTAGTATGGACTATCATTTCCATTGTACACATGGGAAAATGGAGGCACAGAAAGTTGCGTACCTTGCCCAGGTCACATGGCTAGCACATGACAGGGCGAGGACTTAAAGCCAGGCATTCTGTGTCTGTAGTCTCAATACTCTTAACTAGTGTGTTAGCTTCCTATGGCTGCTGTAGCAAATCAGCACAAATTCAGTGGCTTAAAACAACACAAATTGATTATCTTACAGTTCTGGTGGTCAGAAGTCCAAAGTGCATTTCATGGGGCCAAAAGCAAGCGTTAACTGGAGTGTGAGCCTCTGGAAGAAGGACAGAGTGTTCCCAGGCTTTTCTCAGCCTCTAGAGGCTTCCCGCACCCCTGTGCCCGTTCCAAACCAGCAGAGCTGCACCTGCAACCCCTCTCTGACTCTGGCCCTCCTGCCTACTCATTTAAGGACCCTTGTGGTTACAACGGGCCCACCCAGGTTATACAGAGTAATCTCATCTCAGGAGCCTTAATCACAGCTGAAAAAGTCCCTTTCGCCATCAAAGGTGACATGCTCATAGGTTTGGGGATTAGGACATGGACATCTTTTAGGGGCCGATATTCTGTGTGCCACAACCATATGCCTTACTAGTCAGAAGCTGCAAACTGATCTCTGCTGGGCTGGGTTTGACTCTACAACTTCTCCGTAGCAGGCTCAGAGGCTAGAATTTTCCACCTGAATGCCTCTAGATAGGGCGATAGCCCAGTCCCCAGCACTTAGAGAACACGTGTGAGTGTAGTGACCTTTGTCCTAATTCTTCCTTTCCAATCATTCTGGCCCCCTGGGCTCTGAGTTTGAGAGCCCTGGATGAGATCACCAAGTCATAAGAATTCTAACCTTTGTTTTCCTTCTTTCATCCACCAATCTACCCATCATCTACTAAGAGCCCCATTGAGGACCGAGCACCCGGCAGTTCTTAAGGAGCAGACAGCTTAGAGGAGCACAATAGTGATTAAACTTTGCATGTGAAAATTGGACCAACAATTTTCAGGAGCTGGACTGTAATAATAAAATGATAAGGAACTTGGAGATGATATAGACTTCCATGGCAGTTTAGAAGGCACTCTAGATTCTTGCAGCACCTCAGGTTGGCACCCTGGAGAGTTAGCCAGATCAGTACCTATGTGGAAGTAGAGCTGGGCACACGGCAAAACTGTGAAGGAGATAATGTGGGAGCTCTGTCTTGACTCTACCTCCTGTTCCCCTCCCTACCCCGCCCCCCCCAAGTCCCTGGAATGAAGTAATCTGCTCTATCTTATTCCTGTCCAGACCTGTTCTTACAAACAAATGCTATATACTCAGCCATATTCAAATGTAAATTATTTCATTTCACAAATTATTTGAGTGCTAGCTCTGGGCCAGGTTTTGTGTTAGGCTCTGGGGTACAGAGATGAGCCAAAACATATTGAGGCCCTGCCCTTCTGGAACTTAAAGACTGGAAGGGCTGAGGGAGACAGTCATTAACCACACACAGAACTATCTATAAGATGTAACTGTAGGAAGGGCTTCCATGATGAGTCACCTGGGGCAGCGATACTGGGATCTGACCAAATTAGGGCATTAGGAAAAGCTTCCCAGAGGAAGTGACACTGTGCCCAGATCTGAAGAATGGAGGACGCCCGGTTGCTGGAGTGGAGAGAGCAAGGAGAAGAAGGATGGAGGGAAACTAGGCAGGGGCCAGGCCGAGTGGCCATATAGGTTCTTTTTAAAAAAATGTTTTTATTGATTTTTAGGGAAGAGAGGAAGGGAGAGCGATAGAGATCTAAAAACACTGATGAGAGAAGAACATCATTGATTGGCTACCTCCTGCATGCCCCCCACTGGGGATTGAGCCCACAACTCGGGCATGCAAACCGGGCATGTGCCCTGACCAGGAATAGAACCGGTGACTTCCTGGTCCCTGGGTTAATGCTCAACCGCTGAGTCACACCGGATGGGCCCCACAGGATCTTGATCTTTTTATTATTTTTTAAAATATATTTTTATTGATTTCAGAGAGGAAGAGAGAGGGAGAGAGAAACATCAATGATGAGAGAGAATCATTGACTGGCTGCCTCTTGCATATCCCCCACTGGGGGATCAAGCATGCAACCCAGGCATGTGCCCTTGACAGGAATCGAACCTGGGACCCTTCAGTCCACAGGCCGATGCTTTATCCGCTGAGCCAAACTAGGGCAGGATCTTGATCTTTATCTGAGGAGCAATGTGAAGCCATCTAAGAGTGTAAATTTTAAGGTGGGCGAGGAGAGTAGTGAATGAACATTTCAGATTGATAAGACACTACATTGATCGTTATACAGAGAATGGATTGGGGGAGGCAAGATGCAGTTTGAGTAGAGGCCTCAGAAGGCTGTTTGCACACCTGGTAGAGGCTGATGGACACGTGGGCTAAGTAAGGTATAGTGGTAGGCGAGCACGTTTTTAGGAAGCCAAGTTGACAGACTATAGAGACAGCCTATATGGATGGAGGGGGAAGGAAGAGGTACACAGGGTACCTCCCAGGTCTCATAACTTACACAGCAGGATGAATAGCGATGCCAATCATTGAGATGGGAACACCGGGAGGGAGCCAGCACATTTAGGGGAAGGGTAGAAGAAAATGTGAGTTTGGGTTTAGATCTGTTGAATCAGAAAGCTTTTGTGATATCAGAATGGAGATGTCAAGGCAGCTGGATATTGAGCTCAGTGGGCAAAAGTCTAGGCCAGTGATAGAAATTTGTGGCAAGTCTGCAAGAGAT